CACTCAAATTTACGCAGATAAACCTAGCCACAATCTTGATTTCGTTGGTACCCATGGCCAGCCAAAACGTTGGTTAAGGAACTTTCCAAAATTTTGTCTTCATACACATCACCTTAAGCCTTTTGGGCACAAAAGTTATTCATTTGAATGATATTTCTCGACCTTCTCGAGAAATCCCCGCCTCCTAGCCATCTATCTGAATTTTCTTCGGCGCTATGGCAACATTTAACGCTCAACTTCCTTCTAACAAGGACAACTTATCAGGCTGATCAGTGTTGGGCCTCGAATTCCGCAACGAAAAAAGTTCCGCACTGCGAGGAGCGGGAAAATTGCTTTCTTTCCAAGCGAATCACACCCAATTTATCATACCAACTGCCTAAAACGTTGACAGATATAGACTGAGCCCTCGAACAATGTGTATTCGAACACGTTTCGAATACACGACTTGATGGTGTGGAAAAAAGAATTCACTGAAACTCAGAAAGGCCACTGGGATTTTAAAATAAACAAAGATAGCACTTGCCACGGCTAGCGTATTAATGTAAAAGATCTGTAAGAGAGTATTTATAGCTCTACAACTGCTCCAGAAAACAAATATATAATATAAACAACAATCAACGATACAACAATACACTAACAATATACAATTCTGGACAGAGAAAGACGTGTGTCCTGGCGTGTTGAGGGGACAGGTTTACCAAAAAATTAAATAACTGCAGATCCTCTCACTATTGAAGTGAGCAAAGACGTCCAGCGCTACAACTAAAAAAACCTGGTCGACTCCTATTTCTAGTCACAGATTTTTCTGAGTAGTCATTCTGAGGCACCCCTCGTGATTTCGCGCTGCACGTTTCATAGCGAACAAGAATAAGACAAAATCATCCACAGTCTAAGACATACGGCATGCTAACAAGACTTCTCCACGCTACGAGTGTTAGAACACAGGCGTCAGAATGAAATCTTCTCCGGATTCGTATTCGGTCAACTGAAAAATTAGTGAATGAATTAATGCTCATAAAATGATACTCTCAATAAACGTACCGAAGAGAAATGAGCAG